TGAAAGCACAATACAAGAGAACAAATTGATGAATTGGGATTTCATCAAAATAAAAAAACTCCTGCTCTTCAAAAGACATTGTTAAGGGAATGAAAAGACAAGCCACAGACTGGAATAAAAATCTTTATAAAGTCTGTACCTGATAAAGACTCATATCCAGGAAATAAAAAGAAATCTCAAAACTCAACAATAATGAAACAATTAAAAATGGGCAAATACCTCTGGGTACTCCACCAAAGAAGATATGTTGATAGCAAATAAGCATGTGAAAAGATGCTCAGCATTATTAGTCATTAGGATATTACAAACTAAAACCACAGCAAGATACTACTACATTCCTATTACAATGACAAAAATGAAAAAAAAAAAAGCCCATACCAAGTATTGGTGAAGGTGAAGAGGAAACGGAACCCTCATATACTGCCGGTGGGAATTTGAAATGGTAAAAAGACTTTGGAAAACGGTTTGGCAGTTTAAAAAAACCAAAACGAGAACTGAAAGCATATACCTACCATATGACTCCAGCCATTCCACTCCTAAGCATTTATCCAAGAGAAAAGAAAATATATGTCCATACAAAGACTCACATGCAAGGGTTCTTAGCAGCCTAACTTGTAACAGCCAAAAGCTGCAAACAATCAAAATGTCCATCAACATATGAATTGTTATAGACTGAATTGTGTCCCCCCACCCATGCCCCAAATTCATATGCTGAAGCCCTAACCTCTAATGTAACTGTATTTGGAGTAAGGAAGTAATTAACTAAGGTTAAATGAGGTTACATGGCTGGGGCACTAATCTGATATGATTAGTGTCCTTATAAGAACAGACACCAGAGCGCTCACTTGCTCCTGCCACCATGTGAGGATACAATGAGAAAGTGGCCATTTGAAAGCCAGGAAGTGAGTCCTCACTGGAATCTGACCATACTGGTATCCTGATCTTGGGCTTCCAGCTTCCAGAACTAAGAGAAAATAAATTTCTGTTATTTAAGCCACCCAATATATGGTATTTTATTTTGGCAGCATGAGCAAATTAATACGTGAATGAATAAACAAATTGTGGTTTATCTACACAATGGAATACTGCTTATCAACAAAAAGCAATGAACTGTTGATATACACAGTGGCATGTATGATACTCAAACTAATAATGCTGAGTGAAAGAAGCCAGACCCCCTCCCCCCATCCTCCACAAAAAAGTGTACACTCTGTATGATTACATTTATATAAAACTCTAGAAAATGTAAACAAATCTACAGTGATAGAAGGCACATTGGGGGTTGCTTGCAGTTGGGGGAGGTGGCAGGCAGGGATGGGAGAGAGATATTACAGTAGGTTATGAGAAAACTCTTGAGGATAACAGATACATTTACTATCTTGAATGGGGTGATGGCTTCATGGGTGTATACATATGTCAAAACATTAAATAATATGTTTTACCTGCAGTTTATTATATATTAATTATATTTCAATAAAAAGATATTGTAGGGCTTCCCAGGTGGCGCACTGGTTGAGAGTCCGCCTGCCGATGCAGGGGAGACGGGTTCGTGCCCCGGTCTGGGAGGATCCCACATGCCGCGGAGCGGCTGGGCCAGTGAGCCATGGCCGCTGAGCCTGCGCGTCCGGAGCCTGTGCTCCGCAACGGGAGAGGCCACAACAGCGAGAGGCCCGCGTACCGCAAAAAAAAAAAAAAAAAAAAAAAAAAAGATATTGTATGCCTTTTATATATCAGATATTTTGCTAAGTATTTTCATGAAATATTCATTTATTTCTGAAAGTAGTGCATGGTAGGGATAAAACTGAATTTTGGAGAATAATATACCTATAAAACAAGAATGTATTCTATAGAGAGGAGGGGGAATGGAAGAGAGAAAAGAAATGGTGAATGGAATCCAAAGTGATTCCTGGAATAGAGGAAGGAGGCAGAGTAGAAAAAAGGGAAAGACAATATAGCTGAATGAGGACTTCCCTGGTGGCGCAGTGGTTAAGAATCCGCCTGCCAATGCAGGGGACACGGGTTCAAGCCCTGGTCCAGGAAGATCCCACATGCCACAGAGCAACTAAGCCCATGCACGACAACTACTAAGCCTGCGCTCCAGAGCCCGCAAGCCACAACTACTGAGCCCACACACCACAACTACTGAAGCCCGTGCACCTAGAGCCCGTGCTCCGCAACAAGAGAAGCCACCACAGTGAGAAGCCCGCGCACCGCAACAAAGAGGAGCCCCCGCTCACCGCAACTAGAGAAAGCCTGCGTGCAACAATGAAGACCCAAAGCAGACAAAACAAAACAAAAAACAGAAAAATAAAAAAAAGATTGTCGTTTTACACCACTAAGTTTAGTGTCTTTTTATGCAGCAATGGTGGTAAAACAGTTGATATGAAGAAGGGGAAGAAGTGGAAATAATAAAAGAAAAGCTAGTATCCAAACTTCCTGAAAAATAAGAAAAGACTCATAGGTAGTTTTACTAGCTTTTGGAAGTGTGTCCTCTCAGAGAAGTGGTCTAAGGTTTTCTGGGATGGAAAGTAACCCTTGTCATCATGGGTACCAGGAAGGTGGCCTCAGCGGCTAAAATGTTGGAGTGGAAGAAACAGCCCTGTCATCAGTCATATGGAATCCTTACAAACCAAGAGTATGGACAAACACATGGGGTAGGATTTGCCAGCTTCTCATCCCAGGAGGAAAGATTTAAGAAAAATTGTGTTTTTGGTTGATGTTGTAGTTAATTACACATACTATAAATTAGTACTCACAATTTTTGCACAACATGAATCACAAGAGACAGATATGTCTCATTAGTAGGTCCTTTTAAAAAGAAGATTCCTTGATCTAATTTTGTCCATTCCCTGCACCAGAACCTTGACCCTCAGGGTCAAGCAGAAGCCTCCCAAATCCAGGTATTTATACATAAAAATATCTTGAAAGTTCTTTATTATGAAGATGACAAATGGATTTGAGAATGAGTCCATCTGCGAAAAGAACTGCTTGCGAATTGTATCCTGTGCTCATGTATTTCCAGCGCTAGAAAGGAAATACTGGGAATTCTGACATCAAGATTTAGTTCTCGATCACTAGTAAACTAGTAAAAATGCATAGTCAATGTGCCTGTACTGATTTTGGCTTGTTTGAATTTGTTTTCAGGATTTATAGATTCTTTCTTGTGCAAACTACTCCCTTCTTTGCCTTTGCTATCTGCCATGTTGGGATATTCTGCTTTTATGATTCAGAAAATTCATTGCTTATCTTTATCTTTGCTTGTGTTCTTGTTCAGAATACAGTTCCAGACAGTCTTATCAATTGATTTCCACAGATGTTCCTTTTCCCTCTAACATAAATTAAAGGCTAGCTGCTTTACCTGTTTACAAATAAATGGCTGGATAATTTTACAGCTCTCTTTTTTAACCTGATCACACTGCATTCAGTCTGGTGGTAATGATGTTTTATTTTCAGATGAACCAGCATTTGTGGTAAACTGTGGCAGTGGAAAGGGAATTCTAAAACTCATTTGGAGGGAAGAGTCTCTATTAGCTTAGAGTGTGAGTTGAAATGGATCTCCTATTCTGTGCTTCTCTCACACTTCCTGTATCACACCATTAAACATCTTCCCAGGGACCAGAAGCTCCAGGAGATTCTGCTTAATCACTTCATGCCCAGTATCATGGGAGACCACATTTGCAGGATGTGGGGCATGGTAATCCCCTGTGGTTAGGAATAACAGCTGTTCCCAGTTTTTAAAACAAGCAACACGGAGTGAGCTAGTCAAAAAATTATCCTCAGGGCTAGTGACAGAAAAGAATGTTATAATGGTCAATTTGCCCACATTCACATAACTGGTATGTTGTAAAGCCTAGTTTGGACTCAAGTTCATGTTTTTTTTTCCTTTGCTAAGTTTATTTATTTTTACATCATACTTTACCCTCAAAGAGCATGTATGAGAGCTGCCTTTCATGGAGGAAAGGGTTAGTATGCTGAAGGTTGAAGATGAGAACTTACCTGGCTATTAGTGTACCACGTAATAAAGCGTGAAGCACATCCTGCTGGTTCCCAGACATCCATTAGCCTTCTCACATGTTTCTGCCAAACTCTCCTTTTTACTGGAAAAGAGACTCACAATACTATTCTACTGATGGGGTAGGCCCCAGTGCAATCTAATCGTTCTATATTTGAGAAAGTGTGACCATATACCAAAGGTTGTCAAAGTGTGGTCCCTGGACCACGAGCATCAGCATCACCCAGGCACTTGTTAGAAATGCAAATGGCCCCAGATCAACTGAATTAGAAACTTTGTGGGTAAAGGCCCAACAAGCTATAGTTTAACAAGTGATTCTGTTCCAAGTGATTCTGACACACATTAAAATTTGAGAACCTTTAACCGAGACACTCAGAAAACTATTTTGTTCACAATTTGTTCCCAATGGTGAGGATAACTGTGTAAAATAACCTTTAATAATATGACATCAAAGAAAGAGATCCCTTCCATCATGTACCCATTAAGCACTTACTAAGTACCCACTCTTAGCTACTGTGGGGATAGGAAACATGAATAAAATATGGCCCCAGGGTTCTGTGAGTTCATCCAGTATTGACAAGATGTACATATTAGTACATATTTTTGGTACATATTTGATTTGCCAACAGAACAGAGATGAAAGTAGCACAGTGGCCTGCTTCATTGGTGGCTGTATGCAATACACTCTCACAAAACAAAAAAAAAATATGGGCTAAACTCACTATTGTATTGCTGATGTTATCAAACCATCCTTTGCTCTTTTAAGGGATGGGGAAATGAAGAATATTCATGAAAAGCTTTACAGCTTTACAGTTTAAACCATACGTTCATCTAATCAGTGACCGAAATAGAATGCACAGCCTCATACTTCTGTGCTGTTGTCTTTGTTTTATGAATGAGCCCCAGCCCCAAGAACCTGAGACTAGGTCAGGATCACAAAACCATCTCTTACCTGCTCAGCAATTAAACACATGTGCAATAGACTTTCCCTTCTATTTAACTTTTATTAAAAGAGGTTCTAAGGTACTGAGATGCAGTACATCATATTTATTACCAAAATTATTAACAAATATACAAAACTTATACATGTAATTTTCTTACATCCATTTATTCTCTATAATACTGATTTGTGTTCAAGTAGGTTATCTACAGTATGTAAACATCCCTTGAATTGACCTCACACAGATTAGGAAAGCCCTCTAACCCATGCTTTTATCAGATACTTCTTTTTATTTGGCTTTCATTTGTAGAATCTAATCTTCACATTTGGCACATGGAAGAGACATCTACAGTGCAAAAGAGGCAGATTTTCTGGTTTCCTTCTGAATAATTTTGCAGGGGCACAGTTAAAGAGCTGAGAGAACAAGAGCACTCTTACTCCATGGAGGTGGATTTGTTGTAATGCCAACAACTCTTGGTTCAGCCATTAAACTTGAGCTTAAAGTCAATGCCTCTTCCTTCTCCCACCCCCCTGCCCACCCCCCATGCAAGGTCAATTAGGCCTTAACCTTGTCTTAAAAGTATTAAAAGAAATTCCATCCATCCCAGAACAAGTAGGTTAATTTCACCGAGGAATAATTTTTCAGTGTTCTTTTATGGGGGTTGGTTTGTGCAGTGTGATAAGCCAGCAAAACTTTTAAATGGAGAAAAAACATGATTAAAAATAAAACAAAACAAAAAACGGATAGGAGAGTAGAACTTTCTATTTGCTTTCAACTGCCATCTCCGCAATAAAAAGCACAGCCTCTCTGAGGTGGCAAAATGACCAAGTGAACGGCGGAGAAAAGTCAAGCCCGCCATACTTAACCTTGGACTGCACGCCTTTGAATACAGTATCACAAAAATTAAAAAAGAATAAAAGGTCATTGGAGATTTTGCCCCCCTCTTCCTGTGTTTCCTTTTGATTATTTAACTTAATCTAACCAAGTAAAGCTGATTCAGAGAGAGCTCCGCTCGCCCCGCAAACTCACTCTCCAGTAGTCCTGCTCTTGCGGTTGGCGGCGCCTCTTCCGCGAAGCCTCCGCCCCAGAACGGCCGGGTTTGGCCGCGCGCCGGCCTCCCGGCTTCCGTCACCACAGGGGCGCGGGACCCTCCGACGCCCCGTAGAGCTCCGCCAGCTTCCGGAAGCGGGGTCCCCAGTCCGTCAGGAAGTCGAAGCTCTGCTCCGAGTCTGAAGTGGCCGACTGCAGGGAGCTCAGAGACCCGGCGACCGAGCCGTCCCCCTCGAACATGTACGTCTGCAGGGAGTCGAAGGGCGCGGCCCACAGGTCCATGTCGGCCTCGTAGAGTTTGGCCAGGACGTAGCTGTGGACGGTGCTGTTGACGGCGCACGTCTGAGGCACGTAGCGGGAGAGGCTCTCGATCTCGGGCAGCATGTCCTGCCGCGTCTTGGAGGCGCCGCCCGCCTGCGCCTCCCGTGGGTTCCACATGGCCGCGATGTCGAAGGCCTCGGTGTCCTCCTCGCCACCACCCTCGTCGTCGTAGCGCACGATGTTCTCGTGGATGTTCTCCTCGTCGTCGATGATGTACGGCTGCTTCCGGTGCCTCCGCATGGACAGTATGAGCAGCACCAGCACTGCCGGAAACACAGAGGACCGGGTGTTGGCGGAAGAGCCCCAGCAGTGTGGGCCGAGACCAGAGCTCTTGAGTAATACAGGTAGGGGAGGGGCTGTCTGGGTGGGGAGCACAGGGGTAGTGTTTGGATATGTGACCTCACAGGGTCTATGCTGTTCTCACTCTTCCTAAACTGTTGGAGAGTCTGTGGGTGAGTGAACCCTACGTGACAGGATTCCACGTGGTTTAAGTAGAAGTTGCATGTAGAGGCTCTGCACACACCTTATCGCTTTGAAATGTGTGTGCGTTTGTACACCCAGCCACCCAGTGTAACATCTCATTAACAAAGCACGAAGCCCTGTGGCCCGCCGTGGAGTATATGCAAAGGATCAGATCATGTTTTCAGACTACGTAAGGACTAATACGTGTTTCTCCATTATAATGTGAAAACCTTACTCTATAGGTGGAATCCGCATCTCAGTAGGATCCTACTTTGTAAATATACAGTGGACCCTGGAACAACATGGGTTTGAATTACTGGGGTCCACTTAGCTGTGGATTTTTAAAAATAAATACATACTGCAGTACTACTGCAGTTGGTTGCCGCAAATGCTGAACCGTGGATACTGAGGGCCGACTATAAGTTATTCACGACTTCAGGGCAGGTCTAAGCCCCTAACCCCACCCCACCATTGTTCAAGGGTCAGTTGTGATCATATATTAATTAACATGAGTATAGACACGTGTTAAATATGAGCCAAAGTCTTAGTCTTTCTATGTTTTCTCCAAAAAATAAGAGAGCATAAATGACCATCTTTGTCCAGTTAACTCAGATTCCTCAGAAAAGCCTTCCATTAGAGAGGAGGTTGTGACTTTCTATATCTAAGGATGTTCATGGAAGAGAGGGAATGAACAGTGACATTTTATATCATTTCATCATGTTATCAAAGACGCACCACACTGTTAGATGTGCCCTTGCAGGTTTGGATGAAAGTTTATCCCAACGTATGTTTTTTTTTTTTTTCCCCCCAGGATGTGTTCACTGGGGTTTAAAGGAGAGATGGAGGTAATCCCATTGAACCATTTATCTCTGTGAGTAAAAATGTTTTCCAGGAAGTGTGTTGAGGTTTTGGCTGTAGAACTGCTTTTTTTTTTTTTCTAGCATGCTTTGTTACAGCTGGTGAACGGTGACAGCTTGACAACACTGCAAAATAAGAGCCCAGTTTATCCAAGGGGTGGGGGGGGAATGGAGTACAGTCATATGCCCAGTAAGATTATGGACTAACTTAAAAAAATAACAATAATGGTTTTTTAAACTTGAATGTGGAGTGTGCTTTTTGTAAATTGCAGTGAATGATGTTAATACATGATATTTTCCTGAATAGCTCGGGTGACAAAATGCACACACAGGAAACAGTTATATACTCTTGTATTTTATCTCTGTGCAAAAATGTAACTCATAGACTAGAGGACTATGGGATTTCAGAGAAGTGGACTAATAGGACTTTAATGAAGTGGGGGCTTGAACTGGGCATTGGAGGTTGGGGTGTGATTTGGATGGATGCAAGGTGGAGAAATGGGATTCCGAGTGAACTTGCTGTGTTTGTGGGATTCAGTAAGGAGTTACTAAACTCAAATATTTTTTAGACATTATCTGAAGCAAAACGGAAACAAAGTAGAATATGACATGATTTCTGTTTTTACAAGGATGCAATCTAATGAGATAATAGACGTTAATGATTAATATGAAACAGGTGGTGATAGGACTATCATAGAGCTGCAAGAGTTTTGCAGAGAATATAGAAGCAGGGCCAGTTAATTCTTCCTGGGGACCTGGGAAAATCTCCACACAGGTGACACTGGAGTGCTAGGTGTGGTATTTCAGAAAATGCTGGGAAGCAATATTAGAAAAGTCTTGGAGTTTGTACTGGAAAGAATTCTGAAGATATAGAATTAGGCAGTTTATAGAACTCTGAAAAAAATAAAGATTGCTACGTATCTTATTTTTAGGTAATCTTATTTAAATATCAAGTATTATATAACCCCCTGAAAATCAAATTTTGGGAAATATGATCCTATTCAGCTGAAGGGCTTCCCTGACAGAAGAGAATCAGTTCTAGGGATGTTTATTCTTTAGTATCTGTAGGCACAGTGCATAGGGCCTATGAGATTTTCTAGGAACTAGATACATTTTTGAAACATGGAAAAAACTCCATAGTCAAAATTAATGTGTTAATATAATTATCCACAAAATGTAGTATTTCTTTGACAAATCAACTGCAGTTCAGTCTTACTCAGTTTTATGAATTATGTTTAATGTGGGATGTACACTCTTAGAAGTGAAAGTGCCTAGAACTCTGAGGATTTTATGACAGCTTTGCTCGGTTTAGGTGCTGAAAACTGTTTATTCTGCGCAATTCCAAAGGCAAGACATAATGGGTTTGGGAGGCACAAAATAAATCGCCCCTTGCACACCACTTCTAACTTGAGAGCCTCTTTATGCCAGCCTCTTTAAATCAGTCCCCCTGAAGTGGTGGCTCCTTTTACTGTTTGTGGGCTAGGGTGAACTCATAATGTAGACATTTCCAAAGATAGAAGTAAGGACAGCCAGACTGGAGATTTCTCCTAGAAGCAAGTTTCTTCAAAGGCTTCTTTCAGGGTGTCCTGTTATGCACTCAAGGACTCCCAGTGCCACCTTATGGACACTCAGGGAATTGCAGGAGGGTTTTATTTGTCAGTACAGAAAGGGACCAGAAGCCGTAACAATCCTCTCTGATCCAGGGATCCAAGGACTTTGAAAGGTTACTTCTTTATACTGTTTTCCCCTTCATGTAGCACTGAACTACATGAAGCATATTCCACAGACCTACTAGAAATTAAATCAAGCAACTGACATTTTAGTTAGACCTTCTTTCTTTGGTCTGACTCAGTCTCTTGGTTTGGAGGTAAACCTGGGATCAGGGCTTAAATTCTAATTTTAATCCTCAATGCTTTACTCTTTTCCCTTACTAGGATTTCTTCCATATTGAATAATATCACTATCTACTAAGTCTGCTTTCTCTAAACAAAATAAGTATGCTGTGAATTATTTCAGTCAGAAGAGTTGGGAGATATGTACAGATATTTTTTTGGTTTCAGGAATTGGTTTAGATGTTTTACTGTTTGTTTTGAGTGTGGATTTTGAGGATAATAGCATGAATGGCCTTAGTACAAGGGAGTTGGGAGCTGCTTTGCAGTATGACTTTAGATGAAGAGGAAAGGATCCCCTATCCCAGTAGTGCTCTCCCACTGGCCTGTCATCACACTTTATTTCACAAGTAGAGGCAAACTGACCCTGGTTAGAGGCCATGGTACCCAGGGAGGGGGTGGGGGCTAACGCCCCCAGACAGCTTACCCTCCCAGATATCCATGTGGTTCACTCTGCCACTTTTCAGATCTCTGGTCAGAGGTTGTCTTATCAGTGAGGTCCTCCCTGACCACCCTAGTTAAACTGGCACCCACCCCTGTCTCCTGTTCTCTCAGGACTTCTTCCTTCTTCCCTTCTCTGTAACACTTACCACATCCTGAATCTGGGGATGAACATTTGGGAGAAAGGCCATACTGCTCAGATACAGGGATGTGCAATGCGGGGCCTGGCTGTGTTTCAGCCCTGGCTCTGCCACTGAGATTTGGCCTTGGGCCCGTCACTACCTCTTTGTGATTTAGCTGCTACTTATCTGAAATGAGGGGGTTAGAAGAGGTGATCATCATAGCCTGTCCAAAATTATTATATAGGTTCTATGATGTCAAAATGAACTTGCTATATTTTGAATTAAGCTTTGTGAAGGCTGGGGCATTTCTGTCTTATTAATCCCAGCACCTAGAAAGGCAACCTGGCCTACAGTAGATGCTTGATAAATAGATGTGCTTTCATTTGGCCACAGAGGCCATGAGTTCCTTGAAGGAGGGGACTGTCTCCAAGTTCTTTACTTTTTCCCAGCCTTACTCTCCCACCTTTTCAATAAGCACGGTGTGGAAAACCAGCTGGCCAGCTGTGTCAGGGTGATAATGGAGTGGTATCTAAGTAAGCACTTGCAGGACCCCACAGAATGGAGAGGAGCCACTTACTCACCTAAGAGGACAAAGATGCAGGCCAGGATGGCGATGAGGGCACCACGGCTCAGTCTGACTGGGAGCATGTAGGCCTCGGGGCTGCAGGACAGGATGTGTCCATCGTCGTCACAGCTGCACACCTGGATAGTCAGCGTGCCCGTACTGCTCAGCACCGGCTGCCCATTGTCCGATATCAGGATGGGCAGGTAAAAGACACTCTGCTCCTGCTGCCGGAAGCCAGACCTCCTAGTTAGAATCCGGGCAGTGTTATCTGAAGAAGACGGGTTCCAGGATCGAAAAAGGAGAGAGAAGAGGAAAATGAAAGAACCAACAAGAGAATTAATTTTTTGGATTGAGGAAAGCAAGGGGGCAGGAACTGGGTGGGGAAGGAGAGAGAAGGGACAGCATGCCCTGGAGGCGGTTAGCTACAGCCACCAGGGTTTTTTGGGATCAGCAGTTGGATTCAGAAACCGAGATTTTTGCTTGCTTCTAGGGAAAACCCTGAGGCCTAGGAGAGAGACCTTTTTTGAGAGTCTGTCTTACCCTTTGTGACAAAGTGCCCAGGGCGAACTGTCAGACTTCAGATCTAACTGAAATGTCCCTGGGGAAACTTGACAGAAATGAACAGTCACTGGCGACTTGTGGTCCCTGTTTGTTCTAGCTCAGCAGCTTTCCAAGGCCCTGGGCTGCTTTGTGCCCCCAGGAAAAGAATGTTGAGGAGCCCACGCGGCTGTGGCACATAGCTTATTTTTGCCACTTTGGCTGGAGTTCAAGTCTTCTGCTATTTTCTTTTATGCCTCTGAAATGCAGTCACCAACTCCTGTGCTTTCTGATGAACCTGCTCGTTTAGCAGAAGCTTGTTTGAAATCCCCTAATCATGACACACCCTGCTATTTCCCGCTAATTGGTGGTCTAAGTTTAAGCAATTAATATGAATTTGGTGAAAATTCAATACTAGTTTTTTCTCCCCAGTTTTAAAGGGGATTAGCAAAATGGTTTGGTATGTTTCCACAAAGCTGATATGTGTGTGTGTGTGTGTGTCTGTCTGTCTGTATTTATATTTGCCTAATGTAATGTTTTGGGATCTTTTTAAATATGTGTTCTCAAGTTTTCTTGAGTGGGTTTGACTTATAAATCAGATATATTTTCTGGAAAGCTTGTATCTTTTTCAGCAGAGGAAAAGTTTGAGAGATGTGGTAGGACGTATAATCAGTGACAAAGCTAATATCATCAGTATGGAAGGTCCTCTGGATGTGTTTCACATTTCACAGGGAAGAGTCTAGAACTTCACAAAAAATTCTGAGAGTCTAGCCATTATTCAGACCAATATCAATATTTCTGGACATAATAAAGGATTATACTTTTCTACCCTCTTGAATTTGGGCATGTCTGTATCATTTGCTTTAGATGATGGAAATGAGCAAAACTGATTCGTGTCACTTCCGGACAGCAGCATGTATCAATAATAGCTGGTATGTTATTCTTGTGTTCTCTTGCCTTGTTGTAATTTATGAAAGAACATTAGAGATGGAGAGCCAGGCAGCCTACACCTGGACAGCTGTCCTTGGTCGCCAGACCCACAGTCAGCTTTACGTGAGCAAGAAATTAACTTTAGTTGCGTTAAGCCACTGAGATTTTGGTGGTGTTTTTTTCCTGCAGCCTAACCTAGCCTATTCTGACTAATACATAATTCCTTAATTAACTTTTCCACCTCCTCCTCCCCCTGTTTTATCATGAGAGCAGTTGTTTTTTGAGTGCTTATGTGTAAGGTATTTAGACTTTACATGCAGTATCTCATTTAATCTTTACCACCATTTGGTGAGATAGTGATAATCTCACCCTTTTACAGTGAGAGTTAAGGCCTAGAGAGATTATGTAATTGGTTCAAAGTCACTAATTTAGTAGAAGAGCTGGGATTTGAACTCTGGTCTCTTGACTCCAAATACACACTCCTTCCATTGTGCTGTGTAACTGCTTACTTAGTTTTGTAACATTAATGTTGAAAATTATTCAGCTAATTGAAATCTCTTCCTGCTTTGGTACAGGCCTTTTCCCTCTTATTTCCTTCTCAGTGGAGAAAGATAGCAGTTGGTTACCAACCTGAAGATTATATTCATATTTCCACCTACCACACAATCCATCTTCTTTTCTGTTTTCCAGATTTAATAGCTAAGTACTAGTAATTTTGCTTCACAGTTTCAGTTTCGTTTTGTTTTTGTCAGAAGTAAAGTTTTTCTCGAACAGAAATCTTTTTTATTTTTCATTTTAATCAAGGGCAGTTCATCAGACTTTTAGAAAGCCGGAGAAGAGCTGAATTTCTTATAAGTATTACATTATGCCTACTATGCATCATAGATTTCTTGATCTCAGAATTATTTAAGATTAAGGAAAAAAGATCAGAGCATCACATTGCTGAGACTAGTCCTACAAAGGAGCTGGCAAAATTTAGCCACTTGCAAAATTTTGTTGAATATTATAACTGGAGCTTGAATAACCCGTTTGGATATAGTATCCAGGGTGACACAAAAATTTTGTGTGTGTGTGTGTGGCTAAAACAGGAGGTCTCAACTTCCAGTCCCAATTTTAATACTTACTCTCTATTCCATGGGCCATTTACTTTCTTTCCTTATCTATCAGATGAGACAATGAGAGTCATCAGAGGCATTAGTAACTTTCTTAAGACCTTAAAGGATTATTATAAATATCAAATAAAGCAACGTATGGGAAGATGCGTGTGAAACTGTGAAGTATATGGACAATCCTTTTCACAGTGCTTTGGGGATTAAGAAAGGCTTTACTTGAAATAGTGCACTGTTGTGTTCATAAATGAATATCATGTTTTGGGCATGGGAGTTGGGGGGCTTGACAGTAGATCCACCACATCAGATGTTGGTCAGTTTTTTTTTTTTTTTTTTTTTTTTTTTTTCCCGGTCCGCGGGCCTCTCACTGTTGTGGCCTCTCCCGTTGCGGAGCACAGGCTCCGGAAGCGCAGGGTCATCAGCCATGGCTCACGGGCCCAGTGGCTCCGCGACATCTGGGATCCTCCCGGACCGGGGCACAAACCCGTGTTCCCTGCATTGGCAGGCGGACTCTCAACCACTGCGCCACCGGGGAAGCCCGGTCAGTTTTTTAATGAGCCTCAGTAAAGGATACTCGAGGGATAAATTGTCATGAGATTAAGAGTTCATTATTTCTATTGAAGATGTTCCAACTTCCGTTTTGAAAAAAACCTTCCAAGAGATGACCCATTTCTTTTTTTTTGCGGTACGCGGGCCTCCCACCGCTGCGGCCTCTCCCGCTGCGGAGCACAGGCTCCGGACGCGCAGGCCCAGCGGCCACGGCTCACGGGCCCAGCCGCTCCGCGGCACGTGGGATCCTCCCGGACCAGGGCACGAACCCGCGTCCCCTGCATCGGCAGGCGGACTCCCAACCACTGCGCCACCAGGGAAGCCCCCGACCCATTTCTTTTTAAAGTCATCAGGTTCCAGGGGCCCATCATTTTAAGGTATTGGCCCCATGAATTGGTGCCCAAAGTCATTGTTAAGAAATTTGCAGCATTTTGCTGTGTATTGTTTCTGTACTGATTCAGACAAATATCAGAGTGGACGAATAGAGTGACACTTAGCTGAAAATTTGAAGAAACAGTATAATGTATTATTTTTTTCCCCAGCGTTTCTACTATGAAACCTATCCTAGGGAATTCCTTGGTGGTCCAATGGTTAGGACTCCATGCTTCCACTGCAGGGGCAGGGGCCCTGGGTTTGATTCCTGGTCTGGGAACTAAGATCCTGTAAGCCTTGGTGGCATGGCCAAAAAAAAAAACGTATCCTGAAGGGTCTGAAACAATGTTTTGCAGGAAGGGTTTCCAAGTGAAGCAGATAGATGAATAATTCAAAATTTGACCCAGTAAAAAATATCAGGATATTTAATTGTAGCACTTCTGTTGTTATAATTTATATTACTCTTCCTTTCAGAATTATCATAGTGATTTGATGATTTTATGTAGATGATTAAACGGATGACTTGGAAGGATGCTTTCCATTTAGAAGAAAACAGGTTTGATATTCTCTAGTTTTAATAGCAGAATATCGTGTGGGGTGGATTTAATACTTTAAGTCCCAAACAATTGATTTTTGGACTAAGACTAGGTATGCCTAAATCATGACTTTTTGTTACCCTTTGTTTAGATTGTTCTAAAGTGACAGCACTTTAGAATTGGAATAAAAATGAGGCCACCACAGCCCAGAGAAGTGATGCCCTCCCTCTCCAAGGTCAGACAGCTAGTTGGTAGCAGAGTTAGCAACATAAGGGGTTCACTTGACAGATTTAAATTATTTTTTCACTTGCTCTGACCTTTCTCTGAAAATCTTCTGGCCAGAGTACAGAAGCCCCTCCTTTTCCCATCTGTGCCCAATGAAGAGTGTGCTAGGTCTCTGAACTCCTTAGCTGGTCTGAATGCTTTTTGGAGTAGAGGGGTCTATAATTCCATTCCAGCAAAGATGAGGAGGGAAGCACTTTCTGGAATAGGGAACCCCACCTGACTGTTCTTTCTGAATCATTCCAAAATAATAAAGTGGTTTCGGTGCCAGAACTACTGGTTGTGTTCCTGTATTTGTCCTTTGCTCTTAAGTAACTCAAAGGTTACTTAGCCTTTGTCTCCCTTTTGTTCTGGGAGCTTTCACTGTTTCCCCCTTTGATCCTTGCTTAGATGTGTTCACTCAGGATTTTCTCCTTGGGCCTCTTTCTATCACCTTTCTCAGATTCTTCCTGTAGTTAAAGAACATACAAACATGGCTGCTCTCTGTGGGGATGAAGGAAGCCTATGTGCCTCACACAGTGTCTGGCCCAGAGCCTGTGCTCAAATGTTTGAGTGAACTGACTGACTGAGTAAAAGTTTCAGAATCAGCAGAGGACGTTCTTTGTCTTTGACGTTCTGAAACAAAACTTTAAAAGACCATACAAATTAACATTAATGTCTTTCGTGCTATTAAAGAGCAGGTAGGTGTCCTCTGACACTGTTTGCATGGTATAGTAACCCAAAGTTTCCAGCCCACGCTGTAGAAAAGCATCGGTAGCCAACTGATTACCTTGGTTGTCCCTTACGGTGAAGTTGGGGTTGTTAGCAGCCTCAGGAGCCAAGCTGTAGTAGAAGTGCTGGCCATTGTGTGGGTCATCTTGGTCCACTGCGCTCACTGTCTGGATCAGCTGAGGGAGGGACATGAGTCAGAGTCAAAAGAAAAGCTTCAAGGGCAGGGGGGATCCCAAACCCTGAAATCCAGTAGTAGATTTTTTTACCTAAGGAGGACATCCTGAAACTTCCCTCGGCAGTCTCTGTGCCATCACACATGCAGAATTGAATTTTGGTTTATTGTTGGGCCTGAGTGTGTTAACAGGCACAGGGTAGATGATATCTAAATGCCTCAGATGTTAGACATCGACATAACACACTATTCTCACCCCAGGTCTGGCCCTTTTTAGGCAGTTGAAACAGAAGACTTTGAGTGAAATAATTCTGGGATGCCACAAAGTCCTGCCTGTTTCCCAGTTTTTTTTGTACCCTCGCCTCACCTTCTTAGCCTCACATTTGGGTTAATATTTCATGGTCCGATTGCTATGTTTGAGAGGCCTCTATTTAAAAATGACCAGTACCGGGCTTCCCTGGTGGCGCAGTGCTTGAGAGTCCGCCTGCCGATGCAGGAGACGCGGGTTCGTGCCCCGTTTCGGGAGGATCCCACATGCCGCGGAGCGGCTGGGCCCGTGAGCCATGGCCGCTGAGCCTGCGCGTCCGGAGCCTGTGCTCCGCAAATGGGAGAGGCCACAATAGTGAGAGGCCCGCATAACGCAAGGAAAAAAAAAAAAAAAAAAAATGACCAGTACCTAGTGGGAAGTAAGCAGACACTACATTGATTGTGTCAGCTTAATGGAAAACAGATGTGAGGGGATGGGTTGCAGAGCAGTCACTCTTTGTTGGCAGGAAGGGGAGCTAGGCAAAGTGTAGAGCATAAGACCCCCAGGGTGGGCTTTATAGAACAGACTGGAGTCAGAAGCAAGGCTTGGGGCTGAGGAGAGCAAGAGGTGGGGTGGCTTCCTCTTGAGCTCTTTGGCCAAAATTTTGCCTTTTCCACGTGTTTTTCAAAGTCGTAAGTTACCATGAAGGTTATGAAGATCAGGATGGAAAAGTTCCTAAAGAAAAGCAGTGAGAAATAACACAGTTGAAACACTGGCAGGCAGACTGGGGGGATATAGAACAGGTGTCGAAGGGGTGGCCTCCTTCCTGTGTGTTTGCTCTCTCACCAACCAACGGCACAGACTCCCCCCACCCCTCTCAGGCCTGGCCCTGTAGATACCACACTCCTGCTGTCAAAAGCTGCCTATTAACAGGGTAGAAAATGGAACATTCAGGGTCAGCTGGAGGGCTGAGGTGGGCTTGCTTAGTCTTTCTTTCTTCATCTGTAAATTAAGGAGGTAAAGCTACCCTCACAGTATGCGGAAGATTAAATAACAGAGGGGAAAGCTTCCAGCAAGGGGCCTGCTGGTAAACATGGTGTTGCTCAGACCCCCTTCAGTGAAGGACTTGATACCTTCACCTGTCAGTCTCTTTGGCGGTTGCCTCAGTTGCTGAGAGCCACCTACCCACAGTCACCACATTCCAGGAGAATCCATATCCAGTGACTGATGCGATAGTATAAAGCCTGGCCATCCCATCTCAACTTGGGAGAGCCCTAGTCCTAGAACTCTTTGAAGTCATCCAGGGCTGTTCGTGGGTCTGCACTGCAGCTGGACTTCTCCTTTTGCCCAGTCTTGCAGAAGTTCTTCCCTTCCACGGGCATTGGCCCCAAGGGCATGCCTTAATAAACATCTTAGACCAGAACTCCATCTCATTTATGCCTCCTGGTGAACCCAGCTGGCAGCGGGGCTCTGTTGAGTCTAAAGGTCGGGGGGATGGAGTTGCAATAAAGGAGAGGGATCAGGAGAGCACTGAAGTTAAATCTGCCCCACAGTCCAGCCTGGTGTCAATGCTGCTCATACACGAGGGTCACCCCACTGCCCCATTCCTGCCGAGACAAATCCTGTACATTCCGTCTTACGCATGGTGCCAAACACATGAAGACATGTTTCTTCATGAATGTTATAAATAGGTGATTATGTATAACTTGGAAAACAGAAAGTCATTTCAGAACATCTGACCTATGAAATTATATATATGTATATTGGTGAGGTGGGGACCTGAGGCATATGATGGGTTGGTTACAGGGCTTTAAAGAATGGGTGAGCGATGATGCAGGTCGGGAGCACCAGAGCCTGCTCTCCTGGCCTCCCCTCTCCTGGCAGGTCCGATTTCATCCTCAGCCCTACTTGCCATTCAAGATTCTGCTCAGCAGGTTTCATGCCGCACTGAGCCTGCACCGAAGACGTCGTCTGATTTCTTTCTGGGCTTCCTTTCTCCCTAAGAGGAAAGCACACATCCCAACTCGGCAGATACAAAGCTAATGACAGTGTCTGACAAATCTAACACAAGGAGGCCTGATTCTTCATAAACCAGACACGCTGACTGAGCTGCGTGCTTTTGAAAATCTTCAAAACATGTCCCAGAGCCAAAATCAAAGAGTAGGGTTTACATATCTTGGGCTAAAGATGACAAATATGACAGACTATGATAGACTTATGGCTCACGGTCTGAACTTGAAGTCATAGATAAACCGTGCTTCAAAGGACTGTATAATAGACAATTAGAAGATGAATGTAGAAATGGGAGGTGTGCTTGTGTGCTGCAGAAACAAGAGAGGTGGTAACATGCTATTAACCTGTCCTCCTGGACCTCCCTGGTGGTGCAGTGGTTAATCCTCTTGCCAGTGCAGGGGCCACGGGTTCGAGCCCTAGTCCAGGAAGATCTCACATGCTGCGGAGCAACGAAGCCCGTGCGCCACAACTACTGAGCCGGTGCTCTAGAGCCCACGAGCCACAACCACTGAACTCATGTGCCACAACTACTGAAGCCCGCGCATCTAGAGCCCATGCTCTGCAACAAGAGAAGCCTCTGCAATGAGAAGCCCGCGCACTGCAATGAAGAGTAGTCCCCACTCACCGCAACTAGTGAAAGCCCACACGCAGCAATGAAGACCGAATGCAGCTAAAAATAAATAAATGAATAAATAAATAAATTTACATATTAAAAAAAACCCTGTCCTTCTATTCTGAAGCCTGTTAAGAAAGGAAATGTTTCACTTTTGGGGAATGAGGGTTTTAATTTATTGTGCTACTATTACTCTTTATATTACAGATTAAAAATTAGTTTCTTGTATTAAAATATAAAGTATTATGTTTGTCATATTATAATAATCTTATATAATATAAAACAAAAATTTATGTAAGGTGTTTCTATAATATATAAGTAAATTGTCATGTTACAATAAAAAAAATCATTAAAGTCCCAAATCCCTTCACTCAGATCTCAACTACCTTAGCACAGTAACTATTGCTATTTTTGCATCCTGCCTCCCAATTTTTGTTCACATGCAGATACAGTTTTACATAACTTCAAGCATGTACAGGTAGTTTCTATACCTCCTTTCTTATAATAACACAGATCATTTCTTATGCTGGAAAGTCTTCATTGTAACTTTATTAGCTGCATAATATTTCAGGTCTTTCTAGACTAGAAATTCAATAGATATGGAAGTAGAATTATCTTAGACTTGTTGAAAAAAAGTTTAGGCATGCTATAGACCATTGCACTGGGTTTCAAGAATCAATGGGTGAGATAATTTAGATGAGAAGGACTACAGGACACATTATTTTTACCCCTGGAACAAGGGAGTCACTTTTTCTTTGAGTAGAATGGTGAAGATGTGTTGAGTCAATCTTTGGTGAGTTCAGGAAGCTAATAAAAGTTTTGGTTGTATAGAGAGAGTCTGTGCAGTGGGATGTTGCAGGAGAGTGAGAGAAGTGGAAGCAAAAGCCGTGTTACAGTCGGAAAGCCTGAGTTACCAAAGTGTGTGTCCTTGCCATGTGCACCCAATGTCCCCAAACTGGAATCCACAGGACCACAAAATATGCTCGGGGGAAATACATTAGGGAGGACTGAAGAGTCTTACAAAAGCAGGAGCAGAAGAGGAGAGATTGCCTGTGATCTGAGGTATGGAAGGCTGGGCATGGGGTGGGCAGCAGCCTGACACATACATTAATAACGTGGCCATTCCAAGCACAGTTTGGATGTTTTTCATTACACCACTTGGGATTTAGTCAACCCACTATTCATTTAGGTTTAAAAGCAGACTTTAAAAAAATACACAAATATATCTGAAGATTATGAAACTAAAGCTGTTTCAAATAAGTCGAAATTTGTTCCTTCAGATGCCTTTCCTCTCAAAACTTTACATGACATGAGTGGTACTAAGAAAATGGATTTTTTTTTTTTTTTTTTTTTTTTTTG